ACGTAAGAACGTAACACTACTACTACTTACCTTACCTACTACGTAGTAGTAACGTAATAAGTAACGTAACTACTACTACTTACTACTACTCTATTATATACTCTCTCTCTCTCTCTCTCTCTCTCTCTCTCTCTCTCTCTCTCTCTCTCTCTCTCACACACACACACACACTCACACACACAATCTTAAAAATGTGTGTGTTTATAATCTAACCTTATCAATAATTTAAAATATAAAGTTTAATGTTAGACTGGGTTGTGAAGGGTGAATTTACAAAATATGTGGTTACCTAGCATTAAAAGTCTCTCTCTCACAATCTTAACCATGTGTGTGTGTATAATCTAACCTTAACAATAATTCAAAATATAAAGTTTAATGTTAGAATGGGTTGTGAAAGGTGAATTTAACAAATATGCGGTTTCCTAGTATTAAAAGATTTCTTTTACGGATTAGCTTAGTCATTAGGTAAGCGTACATATGTGAATATCACTGAAAGTCAAAAGGTACTTTTGTCATCTTCATAACTAGATAGTTGAAATCTTCACTAAAGAACAACTATATCTTTATGCTAATAAAGTTTCAAGAAACGTTAGTCAAAAACTCAATGTACTTTTCGTTGAAATTTTATATGTAGCTTTTCTTAATTATTAAGATAACGAGAAAACTCAGTCTACTTTGAAATTTTATATGTAGCTCTTCTTAATTACTAACATAACGAGTAAAAAGTAACTTTTTACCAAAAGATAATGATTATCGACACACCCATCACAAACCAGTCTAATCTTAACCTTTTGTATTTTGAGGAGTTCTTCATCAAGGACAAACTCATATGTGAAAGTCCTACTCGATATATATGTATATATACATGCACACTGAAAGAACATCAAAGCTGAAGATTTTCGATCGAAGAGCACTGATTTTTATTGCTATATTGAGAAAAAAACTGCAGGACCATCATGTTAACACTTCAGTGCATATACAAAGGCAGAGGACATGCAAAGACATCATGAGAAAATGAAATAGGCAGTGGATAAAGTATACAAGTCACAAAAAGACCAAGCAAGATCATGCAAACCTCATCTATTTGTAGGCCTCTGGCATGCATGTCTTCAACTGTACGGTAGGCAAGGTTGTATAGCTTTTCCTTACTGAAATACTTAATCAATATACTGAATGTGTGTAAATCAGGAGATATTGCTAATTCATCCATCTTTTTCATTGTCTGCATCACATATTGCATTTCACCTCCCTTGCAATAAGCCCTAAGCAATGTATTCAGCATTACCAAGTCATATTTGCCACTGGTGCTTTCAAAATCCTTTGCTAGTAACTTTGCTTCTTCTAGTAGTCCTTCTCTACAATATGCAGAAATTATGATGCTATGAGAATAACCATCTGCAGATGCAAGAAAGTAAAACAGTTACACCTTACAAATATACAGTAGGAACCAAGAGGTAGTGCAGAAAGAAAAAACAACAGAACAGTTAGGCAATCCAATTTGCAAAAGAGGAAACCAAAGTCCAAATGTTTTATGATTCAATCAATGTTTGAAAATACAGCACAGACAATATATTTGGGCCCCTGCCGAGCCAAGTGACTAGGGTGAGTCATCTGACTTGCCTGAGTCAGGCCCAATTCATGGATAGGGGCCACAAATGCCCCAGAAAGTCCGTTGTGGTAGTTTCGCATATATGCCGTAAATATAACTCTTTAGTTTTCTTGTTTTTTTGAGTAAATTATGTTTTTTAGTTTTTTTTTATCGAACCATTTTTATGTACTTTTTTTTCTTCTTTTTACCATACCACTTGTTTTGTTTTTTTTTTACCGTATCAGAGTCCAAAGAAACTCAATCTTCTTAAAAAACTCTCTTGAGTCCTGGAGTAGACTCTTACCAGGTAACTTCCAAGCTCAAAAACAATCCCTTCTCTCCTCAATCCACGACTTAGACCTCATTGAAGAATCCTGCTCTCTCTCGCCAAATGAAGTCCTCCTTCGGTCTCAATACAAGAGTGATTATTACTGCACTATCAGGAAGGAGATCTTCTGGGTGCAGTGCTCCAGAGTCAAGTGGCTCAAAAGTGGCATTCTAAACACAGCATTCTTACACAGAATCATCAACTGTAGAAGGAGGGGCAATTTTATCTCCCAAATCCAATCCCAGGTGGTCACTATTGACCACCCTCCCATTATTAAGAGAACCATTTTCGACTATTTTACGAACCTTGTCAGTGCTCCAACCCGTCCTAAGGCCCAAATGTCCGAACTCTCTTTCTCTCACTCTCCCCAGATCAAGCTTCTGGACTTGAAAAACCTTTTAAAGAATGGAAATTCCTCATGGCCATTTTCAAATGATTGTGGGAGCTACTGTGCCCCAACCTCCTCGCATTTTTTGTTGAATTCCATGACAGAGACATCATCCACAAGGCGATGAATGCCCACCTTCATTGCCCTCATTCACAAGGTGGAAGGGGTGAAGGAACTAAAAGACTTCAGACCTATCAGCCTCATAAACAGCTTCTACAAGATTATGGCTAAGGTCCTTTCCACTAGGCTTAAAAAAAATTTGAGCTCTGTAATCTCCCCCAACCAAAGTGCTTTCATCCAAAACAGACAAATCCTGGATGGTTCATTGATGGCACACGAATGCATCCACTCCATGATAACCTCCAAGTCCCAGCGTTTAATTATCAAACTAGATTGGGAAAAGGCATATGACCATGTCAACTGGGAGCTTCTCAACGAGGCCAAAAGGAGAATGGGCTTCTGTAATCATTGGAGAAAATGGATCCATGGATATATTTTTTTGGAGAAAGTTAACCTTAGGATCCATGGATGTATTTGCCACCCCCATTTCTCCATTATTATCAATGGGTCCCTCATCTAGGGACCTCAAGCAAGGTGATCCTCTAGCCCATTTCCTCTACACCATAGCAGTTGACTTTATTCAGCAGTTCTATCTATGGGCTCTACCGTTGTGTCTTAGTTCAAGGTTTCAAATTCGGTGCTACTGGTCCCATAGTCTCCCATCTCAAATACGCACACGAAACCTTGCTTTTCTGCAATCCCTCCACTACCCAAGCTGATAACTTTCTCATGTTCCTTAACTGTTTCCACTTTGACACGGGCCTCAAGGTCAATTTGGCAAAATCTAAGATGATTGGTATTGCTATAAACCCCCATATTACCCAAGCCCTTGCTCAAACATGGGGATGTGGCATATAATCCCTCCCCTCGACCTACCTTGGTCTTCTTCTGTGCCTCAGCAAATCCAAAACGATTCTCTTTTGGCAATTCTTCTTCTTGGGTCTCTTAACTTTCTATCCCCATGAGTCAAGATCTAACTCTACGCTTCAATCGTAGGACTCGAGCTCCAGCCCATTCTCAGGTTCATCCTGCTGATCATTCTTTAAAGACACTTTAGAGTCACGTCATAGATAGCAAACTAGCCACTTGGAAGGGTAGATATCTTCCCCCTGCGGGTTGAACTACCCTAATCAAAGACACTCTCTCAAATGTTCCAATATTTCAAATGCCTTTATTCCATATGCCAGCCTCTGTGGCACATCCTCCATAACAATTGATGCGCAACTTCCTCTGGGCAGGAGAAGGGGTTTCCAAAAAATACCGCCTTCTAGCAAGGTCCTATGTTTGCCAGCCCAAAGTCCTCGAGGTCTGGGAATCCGCAGTATACAAAAGAATAACTTGTCCTTGCTAGGTAAATGGTAGTGGACTTGAGAATCAAGGGGACAAACAGTGGCACTAGGTCTTATGCCACAAATATCGCCTCAACTCCTCCCCCTGGTTCCCAAACAGACAATTCCACTAAGCTTCAGTATCTGTAGATCTTTGCTTCGCTCCCTCCACCTATTCAAATCTTTCATATGTTTTCATCCTAAGGTGGGGACAAGAGTGAAATTCTGGATTGACCTTTGGCTAGGACGACGCCCCCTATCGTTTTGTTTCCCAATCTATTTTCTCTAGCAAGGAACCCCGATGCCTCTATAGCCGACCTCTTTGACACTGTTGGCATCTCTAGATCTTGGAATCCTATCTCCGAAGACTAATTCATGATAAAGAACTTCCAGCCTTCCTCGAACTCTCTTCTATTCTACTTCTCACCTAGTGAGGAAGACCAAATTATTTGGAGTCTGGCTGCGTTGGGGACTTTCTCACTCTCTTCCTTCTACCTCCAACTCTCTTCACCCCATGCCCTGCAATCTTCGCAACAGTCCACCATTGCCCAGGCTTGGATTCCCTTCATCCCTCCAAGAATATAGGTCTTCACTTGGATACCCTATGCGAGAGAATCCTCACAATGGACCAACTTCAAAGAAGAGCCATTCAAATTCCTAATAGATGTGCTCTATGCCAATTGGAGGAGGAAACAAATGCACACTTGTTTATCCACTACCACTTTGCAAGCCATATCTAGGACGACCTACTTCAACTCTTTGGTTGGACATGGGTGACACCGGAATCGGATTCTGCAGTTGTTTCAACAAATGGGCCTCCTTCCGTGGACCAAATCCGGCACGATGTTGTGGAAAGCAACAATAGTGGCCACCCTTTGGTCCCTATGGAAAGAATGCAACAACAGAATTTTGAAGGGATAACACTCCCACCATCTCTCAGTCAAGGAATCCATTATCTACATGATTATTTTCTATGCCACCAATCACAACCATTTCAAGCTCCTCACCGCATCAAACTTTCTCCTTAACTGGACTACCATCCTTCATCCTACACCAAGCGTGTCCCCCGCTCCTCCAGTTGAAGACCCTTGGACCTTGGGCAAATCAAGCTCAACTTCAATGGGTGCTCGCTCGTCCAGCGGGTATAGGGGGCATTTGCAGGAACCATGATGGAGTTTCTCTTTTATCTTACGCCTCCCCCATTGGCATCACAGATTCCACCACAGCCGGAGCCCATGCCCTTTTGGAAGGCCTTAAAAAACTTCAACGCCTCTTGGAGCTTAGTTTTGATTGTCAAAGGTGACCCAAGCAATGTCATTTCCTGGGCCCTACAAGAGGCTACACCACCCTGGAGACTCATCACTATCTTTGACGAGATTTTGGAATTTGGAAGCATATGCAGGTCTCTTGGACTCATACTTGGAGGGAGGCCAATCAAGTGGCTGACACACAAGCTAAGCAAGGAGCTGCCACGGCTTTGCTCTAATCTTTTTGGAATGAATCTTGCCATATCCTTGTAATTACCAAATGTGCTTGTGATTGTAATTGTTCTCATGTTTCTACCTGTTTAGTTTTGCTTTTGTCACGTTTTCTGTGGCTTTTTTGGGCCCCTAGGTTGGGCAATTTTGTGTATTGTATACTCTTATCCTTAATACGAAGTTAACAATTTCAAAAAAAAAAAACTATTTCGAATGGCCCAGGTCAGTTAGACTATTTCTTGGTAGCAAGAAAAAAAGTGGGATACATTGACGACCGTATTGGAAAACCAGACCTAAAGGATCCGAAATATGTAGAATGAGAAGCTGAAGATATGGCAATTATGAATTAGATACTATTTTCTATGCAGCTTAATATGAGTCGATCCTTTATGAACTGCAATACCTCTAAGGAATTGTAGTATGCAGTTTTTGAATCAAATTCCCAAAAGAAAAATATTGCAAGGGTTTATGAATTGGAGCAGCAAATCAATGATTTTAAACAAGGTGACTTGTCAATGGGGGACTATTATGCTCGTCTACATGGTATTTTAGATGAATTAAGCCATCATCAGCCCATACAATATTCTTCTTGTGCAAAGGAACAAAGAGAGAGACTAGAACAAACGTATATTTTTTATTGTTTGAAGGGAGTTAATGTAGAACATGAATCAATTTTGGCAAACCTTCTCAGTGGCGGGACTTTGTCATCACTTGGTATTGTTTTCTCCCTTCTTCGGTATGAAGAAACTCGCCGCAAGATAGTGGTAGTGTCTATGGGTGAAAAGATATGGCCTATTCACAAATTCTAGTGGTAATCGAGATGAATGACGTTTTGGAAGCCGCGGTGGAGGCCGAGGTCGTGGATGTAGCCGCAAAAACTCCACATCTGATGAGAAGGACAAATTAAATTGCACCCACCGTAGAAAGACTCAACACACGAGGGAAACATGCTGGGATCTAGTTAGACACCCAAGACAACTTTTCAAGGGCAAATTCAGTAACAATCAATGAAAGTACTGCTCAATCTACTCAAGGGTAGCAAGACACTATCTCCTTTGAACCTGATGAAGAGTTAGGTGACCATTCCTAAAAGAAAGCACGTGGATCTCAAGCAGCAGACTTCTATTTGAGACCCTTCTTCCTCCTTTAAGTCTCACATTACACAATAAGATATATTTGCATCAGCCATCATATCACTAAAAATAGATCTGAGACCCCTTTTGCT